AGACGTCACCAACAGAACAGAAACGCCATCTTTGCTAAACTAGCCAGTCTTGAGGTCTTGACAAGGGAGATTTAGATAGCAAGCACCTGTTAGTAGTCGATATGCTAAAGAGAAAAGAAGTGATAAAAAAAAATGATCTAAAAACAGCAAATAATTGCTGGTGAACAATGGGAATGATTTTTGGCTTTGGCTAAGGTCAATCGAAATGATTTGCAGCAGAAATCCAAGAACAATTTGCAGTCTCTTTGGAATCACATTTTTGTCTGTCTCTCTTTCGCTCCTTTTCCATCGATGTAATTAGCAATCTGCCATTCCATTAGCATTTTGTTGGTTTCTCTCTTTCTGTGCTTCCCATCTAAACCGTTCTTCATAGTGACTCACGAAAAGTAGATTAGATGTGGTACGCGGCCGCAAATAAGCAGCGCCCGGTGAATATCCAACTGACTAATTAGTCGTAATCGATTTAGTGACACAAGCAGTAAATATGAATTACAAGGAATTGGAATGTATCTTTTCAGCAAAAGGAACAGCCCAACATGCAAATTACGAATTAGAGATAACAAAATCAAGCAAGTAACAAAATTAAATATATGGAAGTGGCACAGCTATACATGGGATAGCGAAAATGCCTTCAAAAAACTAAGCAAAATATTAAGAAACAGGAAAAACTACTTAGAAAAGAGTACTATATTGTTACGCAATATCGGTCCTCCTATATGGCACTGAATAGATGAAGAAGAGACATAAAGCAAAAGAAATGTCGTTCTACAGAAGTGTGCAGATGTTTTGTAGGGCGTGGAATCACTTCTTGCGTGCTGTTTGTTTCAAAGTAGAAACATGTAACAAATAAGGATGTTTTAAGAAAAACAATGAAACAAAACAAACATTTGCGATTGCGAAAAATCGTGTAGAAGTTTCTTATGGCATATGATGAGGAGATAGCATCGATAATTTGAAACCACAACGACTGAGGAAAAGCAAAAGGTTTGCGCAAATGAGAGGCAAAAAAAGGGTTTAGGAGAGACAGCAAAGTGGCAAAATTTACTGAGAGCTACAAAGGACAGGGAGTTGTGAAGAGCCATGATCATCAGAGTCCTGAAGAAAGAAGAAAACAGCAAAAGTGAAAGTACCTAAGAGTCTATTCATATGTAATTATCACATTATGTTCATATCTATCTGTCTGTCTGTCTATCTATCTATCTCAGTCTTTTTATATCTATCTATCTATCTATCTATCTCAGTCTTTTTCTATCTATCTATCTCAGTATTTTTATATCTAACTATCTATCTATCTCAGACTTTTTATTTATATCTATATATCTCAGTCTTTTGATATCTATCTATCTCAGACTTTTTATTTCTATCTATCTATCTATCTATCTATCTATCTATCTATCTCAGACTTTTTATTTATATCTATCTATCTATCTATCTATCTATCTATCTATCTCAGTCTTTTTCTATCTATCTATCTATCTCAGACTTTTTATTTATATCTATCTATCTATCTATCTATCTCAGTATTTTTATATCTATCTATCTATCTCAGACTTTTTATTTATATCTATATATCTCAGTCTTTTGATATCTATCTATCTCAGACTTTTTATTTCTATCTATCTATCTATCTATCTATATCTATCTATCTATCTATCTATCTCAGTCTTTTTCTATCTATCTATCTATCTCAGACTTTTTATTTATATCTATCTATCTATCTATCTATCTATCTATCTATCTATCTATCTCAGTCTTTTTCTATCTATCTATCTATCTATCTCAGACTTTTTATTTATATCTATCTATCTATCTATCTATCTATCTATCTATCTATCTATCTATTGGGACTCAAACTCAAACAAGACCTCAAGTGCCATTCGTACATGCTGGACAAAAACTGTCGTTTTCCTCTATCACTTCAGCAAGTACCTGACTCCACATGTTATCCTCTACAATCAATAGCAGCATCTACTGCAAGGAAATTTGAGTCACTGTGTCGTGCCAGAAGGTTTTTTTCCCGTCAGAGTCTATCGTGAACATTTACAAATCTTTCATTTGTCCGTGCATTGAATACTGTTACCATATCTGGTCAGGTGCTCCTGCTATTCTTGACAAAATCCAAAGAAGGATATGCAATGTAATCGATCCATACTTGGCACCCCGACTTCAGTCACTTTCTCACCAACGTGACATGGCTTCCACCTTTCTTTTATACAAATATTTTCATGGCTACTGCTCTGATTTGGCGCTTTGACCACGTTTGTTTAAGCGTGCAACTAGATTGGCATGTAGGTCCCACTCTTTTAATGTTGAATTAGATAAATGTAACCGCCACAACTATTCCTACAGTTTTCTTTCTCACATTTAGCACCTGTGGAACTCCCTTCCTTTTTCCTGCTTTCCTGATAACTACACTCTTCAAAAATTGAAATGCAACGTCAATCGTCATCTTCTATCTTCTTGAACCTCGTTCAGCTTTTATCATTTCATTGGTTCTCTCTCTACCCAGTCTTTTCTCTCAACTTCATCCGCTGTAAACCCCTGCGTACTAGTGGCATTACCTCTTTGCTTTGGATTAAATGATTAAAAAAATATTCGGGCTATATCAGGCTGAAAATGGAGTATTGCTGCCATATATGGGATGGAGCTGCACAGTCTTCTCTTTTCAGTCTCGATAGTGTTCAAAGGCGTCACTGCGTCCTTTTAATTGATGACTTATTTTACGTTTATGTTATGGTAATTTACCCACATATGCATGGAATCTCACAGCTATAAATAGGAGCAGGAACTGCCTTTTAGGGAGTGAGGTTTCCAGCAGTGAAGTGAGTCAGCCGTTCACTTTCGCACAGACTGATCGTTTCAACTCTCTGTCTACGGACGGAGAGGAACCCGAAGGAGGCTACGCCGAATGGCGGCGTCTCCTTCGAGGAGGTAAAACCGGCCCTGAACCCGTTTATACGGGTTCAAACAGGCATATTTTTGGGCCGAGCCCACGGGTTCGGGAATAGCCGCAATAAACAACCGACCTTGTGTCACATGTTGCCCCAGTGGGGGGGGGATTCAATATCGTGAGGTTTCCAGCAGTCAGCTCTGACAGTCGGACCGAACGTTGCCGTAACACTTTCGTTTGTATATGTTTGTATTACTGTTTCTGTTAATATATTATATATTTATTATATATTAACTCAGTTCCTCTCTTGTGTCTTTATTTCTGGTCTAAAAAGGCCACAACAGATTACAAAGCCTTTCTCACAGATGAAACGTCGCAAACCTCTCTCTTCTCTATCGTTATTTCCATGTAAAGTGTTCACATGAAGTACATTCCTTAATTCCTTCAGTAATAACCTTCCCGGTTATAACCCGCCATGCTACGCATATTGTAGGGGAACCACCTCCATTCTCTTCCTATTTCATCGGCGAGATGTAAGTTCCACTGGAACAGCTTCTTCCCAGGAACAACTGTTTTGTGGAACTGACTCCCAAATGGATGCTTCCCCGATCTATACAATCTTAACGTGTTCAAGTCTAAGGCTAATCGTTATATTCCACACATATTTGCATAAGTTGTGGCCCTTATTCTGTAACACAGGTGACCCTTGGGCAAATCTATCTATCTATCTATCTATCTATCTATCTATCTATCTATTATAGGGTGTTTGTATTTATCTATAGACGATAAGATAAACAAATCGAAATGTCAAAACAATAGTGGGTAATCAAAGAACAAAACAGAGAAAGTTTACAGAATTCACACAATTACAAATAGTAACACAAATAAACTTCATAAAACCAGGCGCATAATACTACATTATAACACAATAACGTCCACAATCGAAAAGAATTCATGTAAATCTTATAGAAAATGTGTTGCAACTACGTAAAAATCAATACCATATTCATTTAACAAACAATAAAATAATAGCAACCTTAAAACCGAAGCCGACATTTACAAAATAGAATGTAAAAAAAATGTCCCAAGAAAAACATTGGCGAAACATCTAGGAATTTAAATAAGATCTCGTATGAACTCAAAAGGAACTTTCTACAAAAGAACACGCTAAATACATTAGTCGTTCATAGTAATTGGTCTGATCATAATTTTGAAGGCTTCTAGCCACATCAATTTGAAACACCGGTTTCCATACGATCACGGAAGTAAAGCAACGTCGATCCTGGTCAGTACTTGGGAGAATACCGGATGCTGTAAGCTCCGATGTACGGTTGAAGTATTGAATAATGACTCGGATCTCAGACTAGCAATCGGATGTTCCAATTCGTACGAGGTTCGTTATATTCACTCACGCACAAATACCCTTGAGAAGCTAAGTATGTTGAGGGAACCACATCCTCCCGTATCAAGAAATACAATTGGAATGGCATAGCTGTAAGGGAAAAAAATCATGTTAATATTTAGGAACATGTGTTATGATTGTATTTTCCACTTGACTGAGGAGAAGCCCGGTGAATTGTATAATCAAGGTTCATACTCCGAATGGTAGGGAAAATGAGATTGTTAGTGGAACAAGAAGAATGGCTGTGGACGAGTAGCTTTTGAGGGTTAAAAACCAAATGTAATTTTCTTATCGAAAAACAACAACCAAAAGAAAAGAAAATATTATTCACTCTTCCCGTGAGCGATGTCACTTTCGTTCTCCGTATATCAATATATGTAAATTCAAATCTATGGTTTCTGTTGTTATGGTAAATGGTACAAACACGAGGAAATTGCTCGATGAATTACTGTATAATCATAACAACACTTTGTCTTCCAAATTCTTCCAAATTCGGACAAACATCTACTGTGAAACAATTATCACTAACAAAGAGCTTAAAAATCTTTTGGCAAATATACATACGCACACATGCGCATAGATAGTTAGACAGAGAGAGATAGAGAAAGTAAAATAAAAATAGATAGATAGATAGATAGATAGATAGATAGAATGAGAGAAAGAGAGAATAAAATTAATATAGCACCATATCAAAGTATGTGAGTGGGTATGACAATGAGTGGGTATGTCAGGGAGTGGGCATGACAGTGAGTGGGTATATCAGTGAGTAGGTATGTCAGTGAGTGTCTTTTTCCTGAAAAAAAATTACTTTATGTTTAGACTATTTCTCTGGCACCAGACATCTTTTAGGATATCGAACACTTCAGTGGTTATTCAAAATTTATTCAGCATGATATAATGTTTTACACGAATCTAACGCCTTTCCTATGCATAAGGGAGGGAATACTTCTCTATGCATAATGCGTGAATCTTACGAGAAATAGACCCCCAATGAACCTTAATCTCCATTCAAACTAACGAATTTATTGGTGTAGCTGTGAATCACACATTTCTCCCCATATATATATATATATATATATATATATATATATATATATATATATATATGTGTGTGTGTGTGTGTGTGTGAGAGAAAGAGAGAGAGAGAGAGAGAGAGAGAGAGAGAGAGAGTGTGTGTGAATTATAAATATGAAACCCAATTACCCTATTCAGATGGCCATTTCGTCCCCGGGAGATTCTCTTTGGGACTTGTCAATACAAATACATTTGTTAAAGAAATGTATTCTAAAATTGTTTTAAAAAGAAATTTGAAAAATAAAGATTAAGATAGGAAGGAAGAAAAGAAAAAAGGAGAAAAAACAAGAAAGAAGAGGAACAAACAACATATAAGGGAAATGGGATTTATAGAGTGATAGAAACTAAGGACTTAGTTTAACAGGATTTACTTGGATTACTTAACCACGGGTTTTCATGTATACATATCCATAATACTACGCGAATATCTAATTGTTACCTATTATATATATATATATATATATATATATATATATATATATATTATAAATGAACTGATTTAAAATATGCTTAAAATCAGTTAATTTATAATATTAATGCTCTGTAAATTTACACTATTTGCACTATTTTAAAAAAATAAAGATATCAATAAGAACACCGGATTACATATCTTACTGTTCTTTCTTATTATATTATTATTATTGGACGTTCCAAATTTGAAAATAAATAAATAATTGTTATAATTCTTTTTCTATCCTTTGCAAATGATTCAAATTTTAGTATGTTATTATGGATGATAACGATTACCAGTTGTCAAAATTTCAGCTTTTCACAATTGTTATTTCTAACAAATATTGGGTTTTAAAATTTTGTCCCTTAGTTTTGAACGCTACTATATATATATATATATATATATATATATATGTCAAAGGCAAAATTGAAAATATTTTGGGACCTTATCGAAAAGTAGTGTTCTGATAAATAATAAAGCGAAAAATATTAATATGCAACCCAGTGTGCCTGAAAATTTTATATATATATATATATATATATATATATATATATAATATATTATATATATATATATATATATATATATATATATGCATGTATGTATGTATGTATGTATATTCATTTCAACTGAAATAACAATATCGTTCGTTCTACGAATGTCGAATATTTCCTGTATTTCAGCATTAATAAGATAAGCATAATATATATTTTGATATCCTTCATTTGGATATTGGAGATGCATACTTCACGCCGGCAAAGCGACATGAAGATCGAAGCATCAATTGCAAAAAGACAAAATATGTTATCCTGAAAAAGAGAAACCATCCAAAATGCTAACTACGAACTGAAGTAATTCATGTATCTGAGAAATGTTTAACAAATCACTAACAAATGTGAAACCGTAACCCTGAAAAGCACATATCAAAAGATGCCTTCCGAAAGCTAAACGAAGGATTAAGAAACAGGAAAATGTCATTAGAATCAAAGAAACTAAACTACTATGCAATATCAATTCACTTATCTACTATCTATATTTCTCATGTTGTCTGTCTGTGTGTCTGTCGTGGGCGTTGTTACCTCGCCCAGGCCGCATTTCTCACCCGATTTCGATGCGGTTTTCATCACAAGTTTGCAAGTGGCTGCCTTAAAGACATGGCACAGCCCGATTTTTCAGTTCGGACTCAGGTTCCGAAAAACTCGATAATCGAAAAACTCGATAATCGAAAAACTCTGCTTACAGAAGGAATTATTGCATTTCAACCAAATTTGACACCCTCTTAGAGTCTACCTTTAGAAGTGTTGTCCATAAGTTTTATGACCACGGACCCCTAAACAGCGCGGAAAATCGATAAAACCCAAAAGCCGATACGCCCAGATTGCACCTGAACCGCATGTCAGTTTTTAGCGAAAACCGATCGGATATATGAGGAGGCCATTGGGAGTCACCATGTGAAGTTTCAACTCTGAGCGCCCCCCAAACAGAGTGCAAATGGACAATCGGTCAACCCTTAAAAATGTTTTTCCGGTTGGATATTTCCTAAATGCAGATTAATTTAAGGTCACGCTAGCCGCGGGAAGAAACAGGTTAGTGCGTGCAGTGCTGTATGAGTTGTACGATTCTTGAATCAAGCACGGGCAACGCCGGGCCATGCTTCTACTATGCCAATAAATCCAGGATAACTCCCTCACAAATGATTCAACTTGAGGTATTTGAGATGTTGCTCTATAGAAGGATACTGAGAATAGTATAGATCTTGAATGTAAGCAGCAAAGATTACGTTTAGGAAAATGTTAAAAACAGGGGACTTATATTAGAATCAGAAAGTAACAGTTGAAATATCTAGGACGCATAATGAGGATAGATGGCTTGAAGAATTTATATTCACAGGACATACTGAAGGTAAAAATGAGCAACCTACCTAAAAAGTTTGTGTAAATTGATGACAGAATAGGGGTTAGATGGATTTTAGAAAAAAGTGCGACAATTGATAGGAGTTCATAGAGAGTCGTGGTAGCTCACGTTCTTAAGGGGTACGTCTCATAAAAGAATATAGATTCATTTTCAAGAATAGTTGTGTGGTAGAGAATTTAATAGTTGTTCTAAAATCTTTAGCGCTGAAGATAGAATCAGCAGGCCAAAAATCGAATTCTGTCTAAAGAAGGAATAATTGTTGGATAGGAATGGACAGAGAAAAATAAGAGCCCAAGGAAGAAGACGAATGGAGAGAAAAGAAGGAAGAGAAAATAACACATGATGAAGAAGGTGTTTAATAAAGATGTAAAAAAAAACAAAACAAACAATAATGCACTTAAAACCAATCGAAATGCGTGGAAAGATAGAGTAACAAACAAGGCGTTTAATCAAGACGTTAAAAAGATCAATCAAAGCCAAGAGAATTGGCGGGAAGAACAAAGAAGGAGAAATCGTCTGAAGAGCGGGAGTGTCAAACTGACATACTTTAAAAACAAGAGCAGCAAGTGGAGCAAATAGATAAGCCATCGGGACAAAAGTAGCAGGCGTGATTTCGTGTAATCTGTGCAGACAATGACTTTGTCGCTTAACAGCTGCATAAAGACGAACACAAAATGTGATAAACTTTAAGGGAAGAGACACTTGGCCGCCATTTTTCCAGCAGACGTTATGGTAGCACAAGTCTAAAATTTATCTTTCCTTTTTTTTGTCTCCTGTTTATTTTATCGGCTTTGGTTTGTGTGCATTAAGTTTATTTGTTTTGCGTGTGTTGGAAGGGGTGTTTTGCCAAATTTTCAAGAATGCTTGTGAGGGTGAAATAGTTTGCTTTCTTTTGAAAGTCAAAAATCTTTGCTTTTGTTCTGCCTCTTTATTTTCACAGACAATTTG